TCAGATTTTCTTTATTTGATTGGTATTCTGTTTAAATTCTCCTAAATCAAGCCTCCAGTAAAAGTCCTCTTCATTGAGGCTGAGAGAACTAAAACACAGTCGTCTGATAATTGGCTTTAATTTAATCTGTAAGGATTTTTCAACCCTTGCTGGCACGCTCGCATTTATAATATTTTCCTTCGTAGGAAAAATAAGCCAACAATTTTTGGCACGCCCGGTGGGACAGCCAAGTGTAAGAAATGACAACCTATTTGGATTTCGCCATTCGAACTTGTCAATATGAAATATATTGGCGTGAAAGAAAAACTTTGGATCTTCAAGAAGAGATCCATTTTCTTGATGAAATAAACTTTCATCCCTTACAATATTATTTGGTGAAAGAAAAAAGACGCCATTTAATTGGAGAAATTCATCAACTTGATATGGAAATTCGCCAATGGAATGATGAGTTATCAACTCTTACTACCAAGTCTTTAACTGAGGCTTTAATGGCCGAAATTGGTGAATTTTTTCAGAATTTTTCCATTGTTAAAAATAGCAAAAGCAAAGAGTTGATTTCATCATGGCTCGGGGGGTTCAAGAGTCCGTTTTAAAAGAACCAAATTATGAAATTAACACAACGAAAGAGCATGTTCTTGAGCCAAATTTGGCTAAGAAGGATGTTCCATGTATGACTCAGGAGGTCCAAAAACCAAATTTTAGAGAGTCAAATCATGAAAATAACATATCTATGGGTGATTTTCATAAGCCATTAATGGCTAACATGGAAAAACAACCCACTTTGCCAAATAATTATGAAAACCTATTCGGCAAAAGTCATGTTTTTAAAACAAACATGGTCAAGAATAATGAACAAGCCACTGTTCATGAATTCAAAATTTTTGACATTTTTCAAAATGTCAAAAAGTATGAATTTTCATGGTCACACTATACCATGACTTTTGGTGTTCAAAATCCTTTTTGGATTTGTGGTTCACATCAAAATATAATTTTGATGATGTGGCTAATAAAATTAACAAATTGTTCTTATGAGTTCGAAGCACTAAGAACAAGGAATGACCATTTAAAATGCATGAATTTGGCTAGAAAAAGCCTGTGCATTTAAATAAATGGTTGAGAATCGCTTATCTTTTCAAATTGATGGCCAGTTGTTTGTATGTACACAATCAAAGCATCGAAGATACATTCGAAGCATTAAGAGTTGTTTCGAAGGTTGATTACTTCACCTTCGAAACTGTATAAAACTTTGAAAACTTTCGAAATGTGTACATCTCTTCAAATATATGTAAAATGACAATTAATTAGTTGTCGAATAATGCCTGTTTTTGGCATGATAAGTTGGTTCGAAGAACAACAGTTTTGGTGTCTTCGAAGAATTAATAACTGGTTCGAAGCACAAAATTAATATTTTCATTAATTATGTATGAACCAGAACATACAAAATGTGAATAACTACAATGTTGGCCAAAAGCTGCTTCGAAGGCTCTTTTGCCATAATTTTGTAAGCTCCGAAGCACTCCATCTTGCATTAACAGCTTTGAAGAAACAATAATAGTAGTTGTGAACCTTTGAAACTTTGCCGAGTATTTCTAAGGATGTAATTTGTCCTTTGTCGGCACTTTTAACCTTTGAAAGATGATTTTGGTCATTTGTACCACCTTCGAAGCTTGTTACTAGTCCGTAATAGCTAACATTCGAGACATCTAGTCATAATTTCATACTCATTTGAAACACTTCATTGGTGTTATTATATCATTCGAAGCATTTTGTTGATATTATTCGAAGCATTTTATTGTTTAGATTAGTCATGTGCTTGGTTTGGCCTTCAAAAATTCAAAGTAAGCATCATTTTTAAGGGCCGCGGGGGGTAATGTTTGCACCATAAATCTGTAATTTTTTGCAGGACACGTGGCATCCTCTTATTCATTTGTAGTTAAAAGAAGTTATAGAGATGATGGAGAATATGAAAGACAAAGTGGATGAGTGGAAGGACAAAGTGAATGAGTGGAAGGACATATGGCAAGACAAGAATAAAGATGGAAGAAATGGGTAGTTACTAAGTAGTTATTGCTGTATTTTTTCCTCTATATATAGCCATTAATGGCTACATTGTAAAAGGATCCAGAACTTAAATCAAAGACACTCGATTTCAATATTTCTTGTCATTTTCCTTATCTTAGGAGTAGTATAACATAAATTTATATTTTGAAGCATTTATTTTCAGCATTTCCATTTCGATGCATTTTATGCACTTCCTTTTCGAAGCATAAGAGTAGAGGTAAGTAATTATTACTTTGATTGTTCACTCAATCGTCTTTCTCCGTTCCTCGTTCTTCTTTTAATTTTTCTTTTCTCTACACTTTGGCAATTTTGAAGTCCTCTTTGTTGAGGCAAAAGAACCGTCAACGCAATCGCTTGATAATTGGCTTGAATTTAATCTGTAAGGATTTTTCAATCCTTGCTGGCACGCTCGCATTTATAATATTTTCTTTCGTAGGAAAAATAAGCCAACAGTCGCCAATTGTCTGTTTTTTGGTCGCCAAAGCCATTCTGCGACAAAAAATTTTGGTCGCTACATTTGTGGCCAAAAACCTGTCGGGGAAGGTTTTGCCGACTAAAAAGCCTTTGGTCGGCAAAAAGCTACTCTTTAGTGACCAAAATTTTGGTCGCCAATATTCAATTATATTTCTTTAAAATCATACATTCACCGACCAATGTTGTAGTCACCAATAGTTAATGAATCGCCGACCAAAATCTTTAATCGCCAAAAGCTACCAAACGGCGACCAACATTTTTAGTCATCAAAAGGTTCATCCGTGAAAAAAAATAATTCATTGTTAAGCTTTGCATCCACTCTTACAAAGACTCGAACCACTGACCTCCCACAACATAAGTCTTATGCACCACACACTTCCCACTACGCCAACGTAACATCACATGATTATATATGTAATATATATTATTTATATATATATGTAATATACATAATTATTTTTATTAACATCATTTATGTGAAAATAAATTATTTAGTAGCAAAATAAAAATAAAAATAAAAATTTAACTTTTAGTGACCAAAATAATTTTGGTCGGCGAAGAGACTTTCGCGCTAAAAAAGACCACTTTTCACTACTAAATTTGTTTTTAGTCGCCAATTGTACACTTTTCGGCTACTAAATTTTTTTTAGTCGCCAAAAAACTTTCTTTTGGCTACTAAAAAATGTTTTAGTCGGTAAAACCCACATAATTGGCGACCAAACTTAGAATTAGTCGCCAATTGTGGACTTTTTGGCTACTAAATTTTTTTTAGTCTGTAAAACCCACATAATTGGCGACCAAACTTAGAATTAGTCGCCAATTGTGGACTTTTTGGCTACTAAATTTTTTTAGTCGGCAAAAACTGTACTTTTGGCTACTAAAAATGTTTTAGTCGATAAAACCCACATAATTGGCGACCAAAATTATAATTAGTCGGCAATTGTTGACTTTTTGGCTACTAAATTTTTTTTAGTCGGCGAAAACTATACTTTTGGCTACTAAAAATGTTTTAGTCGCTAAAACCCACATAATTGGCGACCAAACTTATTTTTAGTCGCCAATTGTGGACTTTTAGCTACTAAATTTGTTTAGTCGCCATAAAGCTTCACAATTGGCTACTAATTCTTTTTTAGTCGCTGAAAGCTATACTTTCATCGACTAAATTCTTTTTAGTCGAGAAATTTGGTCGTTGAATGTGTTTTTTCTTGTAGTGCTAGAATTAAAGTTTCCACTTGAGGGAGACCAAATTAAGAAAAATATATTTTCACCATTTAATTAAATCTTTATATTGTCAAGAATATCCTTATATTGTCAACAAATATTTTCAATCAGATAAAATATATAAGATTATGACTAATGTTAACAAAGTATCTTGCGATACGAATTCTTAATTAAGTTGTATTTAATACCTTGATTTTGATAAGTTTTCAATTTTAGCTACTTATTAAATTGAGAAGTCAAGAAAATAATACCTTTTTTTCACATGTTTTTACTTTCAATAATATTAGAAATTCCTAAAAAAATTATTAAAAATCATTCTCAATATTGGCATGAGTTGTATAAAAATTTTAGGATAAATTATAAATACACTAATGAAATTTGCTTAAAATATGAATTGCCCCTGTGATTTTAAAAATTGAATTTCATCCCTTGAAATTTTTAATTTCATAACAAATGATTATTTTTATCAATAAATCATTAAGTCAATAGACCGTTTTTACCTTCGTTTGGCATGAGGCTTTTTTTTAAGTTGGAGGCTAATTTAGCCACAAAAAGAAAAAAATAGATTAAGATAAAATGTCACATCTAAATCATAATTATTTTATTTTTTTTCTCTCACAAAAATAAAAAAAGTCAAAAAACTCAACTCAAACGAATTTTTTTGCTCCAAGCTAAAATAGCTAAAAAATTAAAAAAACTAACCCACTTACCAAACGAGACCTTCACATATTTCAATTAATAATTCAATTAATTTTATTATTATATAGGAGAAAAGTTTAAAATTTTATTTTTTCAATTAATTATGTTAAATACAAAATTCTTGCAAAAAGATATTTATAATTTTGTAAATTACATAGGATAATTCGTGTTTTAAGTAAATTTTAAAAAAATATATTTATAATTTTTCCAAATCACATAGCATTTTTGTTTTATTTTACCATTATTTATTCCAAGTATCATTTTTTTTTTTCCCCTGTAAATTCTCCCAGTTTTTACCAAATTGCTCTAAATTAATATAGTTTTTTAGAATAAAGCTTAAGACCCCCAGTGGGGGTACTGGGGTTACTCCTGATTGGCCAAAAAAAATATATATATTTTTTTTTGATTTCAGCCATTGACAGAGCGCCATGTGACGCTGGGTCACTGGGGTGCCCCAGCTGGGGTCTGAATCACAGCCGAAAAAAAATAGCCTAGAATTTAGAGAATGTGAAACAGTGATCTGTAATTGGTCACTCTCCGATTCCTTAGACCACAGCCACAGTCCAATACCCCATACTCTCCCCCTCGCTTCACCAGGAATCTAATCTAATCATTTGTATTTCCCTTTTTTTCATCCAACGGCCCATATCCACTCCTCCCTCCCAAATCTGAACATCCACCGTCCGATTAGATCTACACAACCCAAGTCATAATCTCCCCAACTTCGCAAAGCTTGTCACAGTCACTCCCCCCAGATCTAACCCATCTCTCTCTCTCTCTACTGATACATACATATACAGTGCCAATATATAGAGAGAGAGAGAGAAGATCGAGTCTGCCCATGGTGGAGGCACAGTCATGGACCACTCGCAGGGGCAGCAACCCGAGGCTGGAATCGTCTGCGGCCGACCAAGTCCTCGACATTCCGGTCACTCCCACCGGTGACCTACGCAATAACAACAACAACAACAACAACACCGCCATTGGATCGATTCTCTCTCCCAACGTATTAACGGCTGTGATCATCGCCTCATGGTATCTCTCCAACATCGGAGTCCTCCTCCTGAACAAGTACCTCCTCAGCATCTACGGCTACCGTTACCCGATCTTCCTCACCATGCTGCACATGCTATCTTGCGCCATCTACAGCTACGCGGCGATTAATTGGCTGGAGATCGTCCCTTTCCAGCAAATCCTCTCCCGCCGCCAGTTCTTCAAAATCTTCGCTCTCTCCGCCATCTTCTGCTTCTCCGTCGTCTGCGGCAACACCTCCCTCCGCTACCTCCCCGTCTCCTTCAACCAAGCCATCGGCGCCACCACCCCCTTCTTCACCGCCATCTTCGCTTTCCTCATCACTTGCAAGCACGAGTCCCCCCATGTCTACTTCGCTCTCTTACCCGTTGTCCTCGGCATCGTCCTCGCCAGCAATAGCGAGCCATTGTTTCACCTCTTTGGTTTCCTCGTCTGTATCGGCTCGACCGCTGGTCGAGCCCTTAAATCGGTGGTTCAGGGCCTTCTCTTGACCTCCGATGCTGAGAAATTGCATTCTATGAATTTGCTTCTATATATGGCTCCAATGGCGGCGTTGATTTTGCTTCCGTTTACGCTTTATGTTGAAGGGAATGTGCTTGCGATTACGGTGGAGAAAGCGAGGAATGACTCGTTTGTTGTGTTTTTGTTGATTGGGAATGCGACGGTGGCGTATTTGGTCAATTTGACGAATTTTTTGGTGACGAAGCATACGAGTGCGCTGACGTTGCAGGTTTTGGGGAATGCCAAGGCGGCGGTGGCGGCGGTGGTGTCGGTGTTGATATTTAGGAATCCGGTGACGGTGATGGGGATGACGGGGTTCGGAGTCACGATTATGGGGGTGGTGCTGTACAGCGAAGCGAAGAAGAGATCGAAAGTCACAGCTCATTGACAGACTGGTGTAATTTGATTGATGATTCCAGACAAGATTACGGGTGCGATTCTTTTTCTCTTTAATTCGATGCTCTTTTTTTTATTTATTTATTTTTAAAATCTAGTTTTTATTTTGATAAAGGTCTTAATTGAGGGAAAGAAAGATAATTGGAATCAAAAGTGAAACAATTGGACCATTCGATTGTATAGGATGATGATGGAATTATGTTTTTTTTTTTTTTTTTTTTTAAATGTAATTGTTTTTGGTTGGGGGTGGTTTAAGAGAGTAAAAATTCTCTCTTTTTAAGTTTTCCCAGTGTGTAACTTTATTATTGTTTGTTGCAAATTTTGAACACAAAGAAAAGACTGATTCTTCTTCAAATGTTATTTTTGGTGCTGTTTTTGTGGGGAGTGAATCATATCCCCCACTTTCATATTGTCAAAACTTATTCCCTGGTACCTCTGTTGTCATGCAATTACATTGTTATTGCAGCATGTGTGTCCATGTGTATAATTGCCATTCTTTGTATTCAAATGGAATATTTTTTTTTAGCTTGTTTGTTTCAGGTTGATTTTATGCTTGGGTGTTCTCCAAGTTGGGAACCATATTAAGGGGTTGTTTAGGTTGTCCTATTTAGGTTATCCTAAATAAGTGTACTTTTTATCTTTTTGACTAAAAAATTGAGGTTGAAAATATGGATGTTTGGGTTAACTTTTTGACTTTTTATGGTAAAAATGTGTATTAAAAAATTATATAAATTAGTTTGTAAGAAAAAATTAGGATTGAGAGTTCTGCAGCCGTAATTGTTGACTTTTGGTGAATAGTGATAACTTTTTAACTTTTTAAATAATTTTTTTACTTTTTAATTTTTTTTAAGACTTCTCAAACTTTGCCTTAAGTCAAAAGTATTAAGATTTTGGCTTGTGATTGGACCACACTTTACCCTATGGTTCAAATATAAGTAGACCGCCCGTGTGATTATGGAGAGAGTAGACGGTGGCATTGGGGGCTGGGAAGGGAAGAGGGAGCAGTGGCGGTGGTTGTTGGGAAGGGGAGATGGGGTGGCTGGAGGTGGTAGGAAGGAAGGAAGTAGTCTTAGGGATGGCAATAGGGCAAGTTTGGAAAATGTTTGTAGTGCCCTGTCTCAGCCCAAGGATAAATCGGGTTTGTAACTTTAAAAATGGTAATGCATATATTAGAGATAATATAATATATTACCAATAATGATTTATAATTAATAAAGACATTTATTAGAGATAATATAGTATATTATCCAGAATGATTTATAATTAATAAGAGTTGAAAGATGGTAAATAAATAAAAATGTAAGTATAATATTTTAGTGTTTTTTAATCTTCAATATGCTGGTTAGGGTTAGAGTTAAGGTTTTAGGGTTATTCTTTTTAGGACCATTACTAGAAAACATTAATCCCTCAATAAAAATATATATAATATATTGGCTGTCAAATTAACAAGACTATCTCCATATCACATTTTAGAGTTTATGGTGCACTACATTCCTATTCACGCTTCTTGTATTAGAACAATCCGTATTTTAGGTAACATAATTTTAGGATTTTGAGGGGAAGGATGAATACATAATGGCTAATGTGATCATTTGTCTTTTTTTCAAATCATATTTTTCAAATAAAAAGAAGAAAAAATGGAGCTACAAATTGCGCGTGTTATTACTTTCTGTCTATGTAGGCGGAAAATCTAATAGTTGAGAATTAGTCCAAAAATCACGGAGAATGGTCCACCCATATTTAAACCAAAGGGTAAATCCTCAAACCAGAAGAGAGTAAAATGCATATGAATTTCGCCTATGATTGGATTGAATAGGTACATTATTCATTTGTCTCTGTTTTACTTTCTGTTAGCTCAAATCCTCTCCACCATAATATTTTTTTTAATTGAGAGTTGGCTCACTGTAGGGTAGAGAGTTTTTGGGACAGGAAAATATGGATCCCTGTTCCTTCTGTTATGTTTGGCTGCGCATTTAAATCTTGATTGTGCTAATATAGTTAAAAATAGTGATCAAACTGTTTCCTGTTTATAAGATTCTGTAGAAAATGATGTGTGAAACACAACTGTGGCTGAACCTGAATTGCACTGTTAGGGATTTTCTTGATTGGGTTTTTAGATGATTTTGTTAGATTGCTTTGGAGAGAATTGTAAAGCACGTTAAGCTTTCCAATCTTTCATCTAGTTAGAAACTTGGTTGTCGGGTTTTAACTATTCAATTTCATCTTTGTAACACTAAAGTCTGTTTTCATTTTTTGTTTTGTTTGTTTGGAAAATAGAGTTAAATAAATAGAAATTTGAACATATTGCGTGAATATGACGATGATACTTGAGAGAGAGAGAGAGAGAGAGAGAGAGAGAGTGGACGAGAGAAAGAGAGAGATCTGTATCACAAACAGATCTGAGATCTGCCTCCGATGCCGACGCTTCCCCCTGTACACGATCGGACTGCTTCCTCCGACGTCGACTGCCTCCGACGCCGATTGTCCCTTCGTTATCGCCTCCGACGCCGACTGTCCCTTCGATCTACTGAAAGAGAGAGAGGGAGGATAGAATAGAGAGAGACAAAGTGGAGAGAGAGAGGGGGTCGGGGACTCGGGGAAAGAGAGAACGATAGAGTTAAGAGAGAGAGAGTAGAGTCAGAAATAGAGAGTGAGATCACATATATTATATATATATATATGCATATAAATTATAATTAAAGGGTTTATTATATATATACATATAAAGGGTATAAAAGTAATTTCACTTCGGGGAAATTCGGGGATGGGGACGGGGGCGGGGACGGGGATCGGGCCGGGCCGGGGATCAAACACTGATCACCGTCCCCGGCCCGTGATAGATCGGGTATTGATTTTCAAATACCGTCACCTCCCCGTCGGGGGTATTTTTCGGAGAAAAACTGCTTAAATCGGGGTCGGGGTCGGGATCGGGGATCCCGGTCGGGCTGGTTTCAAATTGTCATCCCTAGGTTTTAGGGTTATTCTTTTTAGGACCATTACTAGAAAACATTAATACCTAAGGCATAATTTGGGAAGTTAATTTTGGTGGGTTAGGGGTTAAAATAGCCACAAAAAACAAAATAGGCTATTTTAGCCACAAAAAACAAAACATCAAATCCAACTCATAATTATTATACTCCTCCCTCACAAAAAAAAGTTAAAAAAGTTAAAAAGTCAAAAAACTCTTCCCAAACTATGTTTTTTAGCCCCAGGCTAAAATAGTCAAAAAGCCAAAAAACTAAAAAGCCAACCCACTTCTCAAACGAAAGCTAAATAAAAATATATATAATATATTAGCTGTCAAATTAACAAGACTATCTCCATATCACATTTTAGAGTTTATGGCACACCACATTCTTATTCACGCTTCTTGTACTAGAACAATACGTATTTTAGGTAACATAATTTTAGGATTTTGAGGGGGAGGATGAATACATAATGGCTAATGTGATCATTTGTCTTTTTTTCAAATAAAAAGAAGAAAAAATGGAGCTACAAATTACGCGTGTTATTACTTTCTGTCTATGTAGGCGGAAAATCTATTAGTTGAGAATTAGTCCAAAAATCACGGGAAATGGTCCACCCATATTTAAACCAAAGGGTAAATCCTCAAACCAGAAGAGAGTAAAATGTATATGAATTTCGCCTATGATTGGATTGAATAGGTACATTATTCATTTGTCTCTATTTTACTTTCTGTTAGCTCAAATCCTCTCCACCATAATATTTTTTTTAATTGAGAGTTGGCGCACTGTAGGGTAGAGAGTTTTTGGGACAGGAAAATATGGATCCCTGTTCCTTCTGTTATGTTTGGCTGCGCATTTAAATTTTGATTGTTCTAATATAGTTAAAAATAGTGATCAAACTGTTTCCTGTTTATAAGATTCTGTAGAAAATGATGTGTGAAACACAACTGTGGCTGAACCTGAATTGCACTGTTATGTTGTGTTTGGTTGAGGGATTTGAGGAGGGATTTGGAAAGAGAAATGAAAAAGGTAGGTGAAATGTGAAAAAAATATGCCTACATTTCACATAGTTTCACACACCTTTTCCCTTTCCCTTTCCAAATCCCTCCCTAAATCACTTAACCAAACACAGCGTTAGGGATTTTCTTGATTGGGTTTTTAGATGATTTTGTTAGATTGCTTTGGAGAGAATTGTAAAGCACGTTAAGCTTTCCAATCTTTCATCTGGTTAGAAACTTGGTTGTCTGGTTTTAACTATTCAATTTCATCTTTGTAACACTAAAGTCTGTTTTCATTTTTTGTTTTGTTTGTTTGGAAAATAGAGTTAAATAAATAGAAATTTGAACATATGGCGTGAATATGACGATGATACTTGACAACAAATAAGAGAAAAATACAAGTAGTGTTCCAACATCAAACCATAATTACCACGGACATAAGCATGAACACAGACAATTTAAGTTTGACGCATAGTCCAAACTTAATATTAAAAAATAAAATGAAAAAGGTAATGAACTACTAGCGGGCAAATGCCTGCACTGCATAAGAACCGTACAGTGGCCAAATGTGAGCTACAAGTGACGACGGGACAAAGTTAAAATACATATTTCAGTTAAGTTTGTTCTCCTAGGCTGTCACTGAGAGCCACGAGAAGAACAGTGAATTGGAATTCAAAAATTTACACCATGTTTACCTCCTTGGCCTCGTGTTGTTATAATTGGCATTGTTATTACAACAGCCTCAGATTTTTAATGAAGTTCTCTTACAACAGCATAAGAAGAAGAAGATACAGAAATCATATTACCACTTACAGAGATGAACCAATCCCCCCATACATCCCTTGGCTGCCTTTAGAAACTTTCAAAAAAAAACAATAAAGTTCACCGACTGAGCAATGTAAAATGGTATGAAAATAGGTGTCAATAATCTTATTCAAAAGAATATATCCATAATACATGATGTGTAATTATTGGGTACTTTTGGAGCACCTAGTGGCATTGTTTTGTTTATGTGGTGGCCAAAACCAATCACCAAGGTGCCGTTTGGTAACACTTACGTTTTCAGTTTTCTTTTTATATTTATAAAAATTTAAAAAATTCAAATAAAAATTTGTTTGGTAAAAATTTTGATTTATAAATCAATGGTCTCAGTTTATAAATTTAGCCAAAAAATGAAAGCACAAAAAATGTGTTTTCGTTTTGAATTTTTTTTTTTTACCACCCAACACTAGCCACCACCCGCCACCATTTTCTACCACCGTCTTCCACCACCGCCTCCGCCGCCACCACCACTACCACTACCCACCACCCACCACCCACCTGCCATCCAACACCCACCACTCGCCACTACCATCTACCGCCTGCCACCACCACCTACTACCAACCACCCACCACCATCCACCACCCACCACCACATTTAATTTAATGACAACATATTTATTT